TGGCTCTCTCTTTCTCGGATTCTCATTCGATAAAAAGTCGCTCTTAATTCGCATCACGGGTGCTGCTGCTTCTACTGCTACTTCCACTGCTGCTGCAAAACGTTCGTCTCAACTAAAAGAGGACCCTTGAAACGATTTCTCCCAAGAAGAGAGTCTCGAACTGTGCGGCGAAATGTAGAAATAAAGAAGAAGAAGAAGAAGAAGAAGATGAAGAAGAAGCGGGACGAGAAATGAAAGAAAAGAAAAATATACGGTGGACAATTTTTCGAATTAATCGAATTTGCAAGCGATTTGTCTTCGTTACACCCACCCAGGTAAGCCACAGCGGGTAACCAAGAAGGGGATGACGAGTCGACTTTTTTTTCGCACATTGAGGACACGCATATGTCGACACCACGAGTTTCTAAATTAACAAAAGAGGATCTTCAGGGTTGACACAAAAAAAACTTAATTTCCTCTTTCCCTGACTTCTCCCTGATTTACAAACAAAATTGTCACTTTTTCCCTGAAACCTAAAGAATTGTAAAATTTTTCTAAAACATCAATAACTTCATTTTTAAATAAATATTTAATTATTATTTTTCCATACGAATTGAAATTCTTCAACGATTCAAATTCAAAACAATTTAAAATTTAACAACTTAAAAAAATATTATAAAACATGAAGAAATGGATCACTCCGAGTCGTCGACTCGGAGTGATCGATTTCTTCATGTTTTTATAATAATTAAAAATAATTTAATGATAGAATTATTATTTTATATAAAAATATTGTTACTCTAACTTCTTCGAAATTATTTTCATCATTTCAATTCACCTATTATTTTCTAGAATTTTCAACTGAAATTCTTCTTTAAATCAATTATTTTTGAAAATTCTTGAAAAAGTTCTTTATGGGAATTTTTAAATCCATTTGTTCACAATTCAATTTTACCATAAATTTCGATTATTAGAAAATTCATCATTTAAATAGATATTCGAAAATAAAAACTTCTAATAAATTCAAGAAAAAATTCAAATAAAATGTTTCAAAATTTTAATTAAAAAGTATGAAAAATTCAAATTTTCAAAGATTTTAATTTAAAAGTATGAAAAATTCAAATTTTCAAAGATTTTAATTTGAAACCTTTTTAAGAATAAATTATTTCTAAAAATTTACACTATAATGCTTTTAATATTCTATTATTATCTCAAATTTTAACACAAATTCATTTTAAAATAAATTTTTATTAAAAAATTCTACGAGTATTCAATTATTTAAATACAAATATAGAGAATTTATTGAATAATTGAATTTTTCTTAAAATTAAATTTTTATACATAATTTTATCAAAAAATTTTTAAATAATTGAATTCTTTCGACGAATTTCAATAAAATTTTTAAGAATAATTACTTTTTTCAAGAAATTCGATTAAAATTGTATTCAAAATCATTGAACTTCTGCAATGAGTTTTATTATTTATGAAAATAATTGAATTATTGTGAAGAATTTTGCAAAAAAGTTTAAAACAAATGATTTTTTTCAATAAAATTTATGCAAATTCTATTTTTAATAATTGAATTCCTGGGAAATTTTTATTTTTTTTTAACAATAATTGAATATTTGTGTAGAATTTTATCAAAATTATTGTTTAATAATTGAATTCTTTTGAGAAATTTTATTAAAATCATAGAATATTCAAAATCATTGAATTAAGAAAAATTTTTGAAAATGAAGTTTATTAAAATTTTTAGAAATAATTGAAGTTTATTACTTTTGAAAATAATTGAATTTTAGAGATTATTTAGGAAAATAATTGAATTTTGCAATTAATTTTATTAAAATTCCTGAAAATAATTGAATTTTTGTTGAAGAATTTTGCTATTCATTTAAAAAGATAATTGAAATGTTGATATTTTTTTTTATTTTTTGAAAATAATTAATTTTTTTTTAAGGAATTCAGTTAAAATTTTATAGAAATTTATTAAATTAAGGAATTTTATCACAATTTTTAAAAATAATTAAAAACTTTTGAAGAATTTTATTAACATTTTTAAAAATAATTGAATTCATGAGAAAAATTTAAATAATAATTTATGAAAATAACTGCATTAATGGAAAGAGTTTTATTAAATTTTGTTTAAATAATTGAAATTTTGTCAAGAATTTTATTGCAATTTTTGAAAATAATTGACTTCTTGAGAAGAAATTCGCTACCTGTTTTTAAAAATTACTTAAATCTTGACGAGAATTTTTAAAAAATTTTGAAAATAATTTAGTTTTTGCAAAGTATTTTATTACTTTTCGAAACAATTCTTCTGATAGATTTTCATATTTATCAAAATAATTGAATTTTGGAAAAGAATTTTATTAAAATTCCTTAAAATAATTGATTTTATGGTAAGAATTTTGTTGTTTACCAAGACAATTGAATTCTTTTGCAGAATTACTTAAAAAATTTTGAAAATAATTAATTTTTTGCGACGAATTAAAAGTTATGTATGAAAATAATTGAATTATTACAACGAATTTTATTATGTTATTGAATAATTGAATGTTTCTTAAAATTGAATTCTTTCGTCGAGTTTCAATAAAATTTTTAAGAATAATTGTATTTTTTGAGGAATTTATTTAAAATTGGATTAAAAATATTTGAAATTCAACGATGAAAATAATTCAATTCCTAAAAGAAATTTTATCCTTTATAAAAGTAATTGAATGTTTTCGGAGAATTGTATAGAAATATTTTTTCCAATAATTAAATTTTGTGACAAATTTTTTAAACTTAGTAAATATTGAAAATCATTGAATTGAGGAAAAATTTGGAAAATAATTGAATTTTGCAAAGAATTTTATTAAAATTTCTAAATGTAATTGAATTTCAGTAAAGAATTTTGTTATTTTTATGAAGATAATTGAGTTAAAACTTTGGAAACAATTAAATAATATTAAAAACTTCATTCTTGTTAAAAATATTAAAAAAATTGAAGGTTTTGTATTAGAATTCGTGATATGTTCATAGTTTACAAGGAAAACAAAAAATACAAATTCAAAATTTTCTTATGAATTCTAAAAATTTAATTTTTTCCAGTACTTTTAATAAAAATTCCTGACTTTTCCCTGGATTCCCTGACCAATTCTACTTTCCCTGACTTTTCCCTGAATTCCCTGATTTCCCTGATTTCCCTGAGTTGTGTCAACCCTGATCTTGTTCGAAAATGAGAACAAGAAGAATTTAACTTTCAAATTAAATATTTCTTAAACACTATTTTGGAATCTTTTTCCTTTATTTTATTCTATATCATCAATTGAAAATATTTCCTAAATGCAATGTTTACAAAAATTCCCCTCAATTCTTGACGATCCAAGAGAAAAATCATCAAAATATTTAGAAAAGCGATATCAGCTGATCAGAAAACGACCGCCATTTTAACGCATGCGTAGAAATTTTCTCCAAAATTCGAAATATTGAACACCATATTTAACATTCAGTTGAAAAATTCATCGAAAAGAAAGCATTCTCACCAAGCAAATTTTATGATCCGTTCCTCACGAATAGTTTGTCCCCGCTTTTTTGCAATGCATCGCGATTGTAATTTATTTGCTCGATAAATACTCAGCGAATCCTTTCTCGCAACCGGTAATTCCCCGAGTAATGAGTTGTGTGACCAGGGGTGCTGTGCACAGAGAGACACATTTCTGTGATATAAGCGTGGAATCCATTGAAATTTTACAACCAAAGAGAAATCATTATTCTCACACCGCACCGCGCATATTCTAAACTTCTTCTTCTTCTTCTTTTTGGTAGAGGGCAAGAAATCAAAGCTCTGTATTTATTAAACTGTTTATCATTCACATAATGGCTGAAACATTTTTAAGTTTCCTCTCTCTCTCTCTCTCTCTTAAAAACGAGTTGTGAAATTATAAAATATATCGCACAGTTGTTGGAAAGAAAATGATGTTTTTGCGATGAAGAAAATTGTAGAAGGGGAAAAATTGTGAAATGGATAGAATGAGTAGATATCGGGAGGGGGATTAAAAAAAATAAATTCAACGTTACTGGTTGCGATATACATATCATATAGGTACGTGAGTGGTTGAGCTGAAGTACGTGAGGTGCCTGAACTCGTACACCGGTGTGTACTTCTTGTACGATGCCGCATTTATACACTTAGAATGGCATATAAACTTACTACAGGTCGGTATGCATGGGTGTAGAAATAGAGGTTTATAAATTATGCTATTCACGTATCCCGGTACCCATCTTTAACTCTCCGCCGATGTCATTCAACGTTACTTGACAATCCATCGAATTCTAGAGCATTTCGCAAAAAATTTAGCATTTCGATCAAAATTTTTGAATTTTATTATGTCCCCCCAACATTTTCATTCTATACTAAAATTCATATAAAAAAAATTCACAAGAAACTATAAACCAAACGTTTCCTTCCCTAATAGCATTCGAAGATAAATAAAACCAATTTTTTAATTTTGTGCGAAATAAACTGAAGAACACTAGGAAATAGAAACACTGGGAAATACTCGAATGTTTCCAACGAATCGAAATCGTAAATTGAAGAAAGAAGCGGAATTGCAGAAATTATGCGATTCAGGTTCTCCTAAATATAGCATATGAACCTTGAAGTTGTAAATCAAGTTGGGAACATTCGATCCTTTGCTCCATTACAAATTAGTCTCTTCGTTCCTAATTAGTCGAATTAACGCGATACAAGACCACAAGGTCACTGAACAAACTATATTTTTATTCCCTTTTTTCCCTTTCTATTAATTCCTCTTGAATTTTTGCTGTCTCGAATTACACTTTCCTTTTAATTAGCGCTTTTTTATTCATCAACATCATCAGCAATATTAATCATCATTAAATTATAATACAGTTTTTTTCTTTCCATTCTAAATAGAATACAATTCTTTGTTCTAAATTGTCACGAAATTTTTCATTTTACAAAAATAATTTTTGTACTAACCCTTGTTTTTTTTTTTGCTTTTCTTTTTTTGCAGGAGTTGAAAGATCGATAAGATTTTATCTAGTCAGTGAGGAAATGGATTTCTCCATTGATCCAAACTCGGGTATTGTGAGGACAAGACAACTTCTGGATAGAGAGACTCGAGATAAATATATCCTGAGCATCGAGGCACGAGATGGACTCTCCGTTGGTTACTGTCAGGTGAGTGAATACTGTGGTAATAATAACTAACGATTATCGCACCAAGAATATATCTTTTGCCTTTTTAATATCCTTATAGGTACATATATATATACAAATAAATAGCGCAAGTGGTGTATACGCCCTTCTTGTTTTGCAAAGCACGCTAAAAGATTTACCATCAAGCTAAACCTACAATTTTCAAATAATGACTTCACAAAGTAGAATATATACTCTTTTTCGCGAACGATCTTTAGATGCATGTAATTTAACATCATGATAAGTATTTATGAAAAATCTTGAGTAAATATTTTTTTACACATTTCAATTGATTGTTTCTAGGGTAATTAATTTATCAACTAGTCATGTAGTTTCACAAAGTTTGTTAAATAATCACTAATCAGATTTGTGTTTAGATAATGACAATATTCTCATTTCTCATTTAACTTTTCTTTGATCGTAAAGTTTGTGAATAGAATTAAAAAAAACTTTTTGCGTAATGGAATATTGAAAATGTTTAATTAAGAATAAATTATGTTTACTATTATCTTGAATAAATTGTCAGTAGGAGACAGTAGTCGGCAGTCTCTTTGAAGTACAATTTCCCAAGTTTTCATGTTCGCTTTGACATTCAATGGAAGCATTTGTTCACATTTGTTCACATTTGTTTCGTGATAACCAAAAAAGTAGCTAATGTTTTTTTGAAATTTGATGAGATGAATAAATCGTTTTAATTTTTTTTTTGATTTTTCCAGATCGAGCTGACAGTTGAGGATGTGAACGATAATCCACCATCGTTTCCAACAAACACGGTACGAATATCCGTTCCGGAATCTCATCCATTACATACGCCGTTGTATGTTGCGCATGCATGGGATCCGGACTTGACACCAACGTCACCAATTCGTTACATCTTGGCGCAAAACAGCAACGATCTCTTTGGTATTGATGCTCGACTTGGAGAATTGTATCTCGCTCGTAGATTGGATTACGAGACACAGCAGAGGCACAGTCTCTTGATAAGTGCTCTCGATGGCGCTGGTCTCTCGGCGAATCTCAGTCTCAGTGTCGAGGTACAGGATGTGAATGACAACCCCCCAGTGTTCGAGAGGAACGAGTATCACGTTGAAGTACCCGAAGGCGCCAGACTCGATTCACAGGTGAGAAAAATCTTCATTACACGCCCGTCACAGAAAGCATTTGTTTATCGGAGTCACGATTACATATCACGGAATTCTTCATCGTTTCATCTGATGGCGAAAACTGTCTCAAACTCTAATTTCAATTTATGATTGGAATCCTAATTCCAATCCTAATTGGAATATTAAACCTTAATTCTAGAATGTCTTCCAGATGATACCAATTTTCTTGGGGGTCCTTTTCTTCAGTTAAAGATTTAACTGAAGAAAAAGACTCCCAAGAATATTGGGAGTCTTCTTCTTCAGCTAAATTTTTAACTAAAGAAAAAGACTCCCAAGAAGGACCCCAATTTTCTTGGGAGTCTTTTCCTTTTGTTAAAGATTTAGCTGAAGAAAAAGACTCCCAAGAAAATTGGGGTTCTTCTTGGGAGTCTTTTTCTTCAGCAAAATCTTTAACTGAAGAAATAGACTCCTGAAGAAAATTTGGTGTCCTGTTTTCAGGAAGTCTCCTTCGAGAACCATAACTCAATTTTCCTCAATTAGATACAATAAGAAGCGCAAGGACGTTGATTAACCGTAAAATTGCCGAATCAATTTCCGATTGTTAAAAAGAAGCAAAGAATGAAGGGGGAAACTTGAGTTATAAACGTAACCCTTCACCCGTAATGGTGTACAGTTAAGCACATGATTGCCATCTTCCACGTCACATTGCCTCTCATTGTCGGCCTCTGGATTTCTCACCTCTTCCAGCTCCCTTCTCTCCTCTTCCATCTCCATCAATCATCCTTGACTCCTGCGAATGAAACCTCATTGGTAAGAAAGGCAACAGTGGACAATAACCAAGATCATGTAATTTCATCCCTTTGTTCTTCGTCTATTTTCTACACTTTCTCACGCTCCTTTCAATTAATTTTATTTTTCTTATTAAAAATATCGATTCTATAATCACCTCAATGAAATTTATCTTCCTGTTCTATTTTTAAACGTTTCGTTCAGTTATGTTCTAAAATGAAACGTTTGTTTCAAAACAATTCAGAATTGGAGTAACAATTGAGATGCTATTGGATTCTATTCCTTGTAGGTTATATAAATTTCGAGGATTTATTTGAAAGATTCACTCACAAGAAAATGGAAAATATAAAGAAATATCATAATTACCTGTTTGTACATGGGAGAATAATTATTAATTCAACAAAATATTGTTAAAATTTATTATTTTGATAACGATTCCCTTGGATATAAAATTACAACTCTCTGTAGTTGTAAATTTCAGTTTTGTCACCTGTCAGTGAAGGTTAGTCTACTTCTAAATACCGAACGTCGGTAAAGTAGTTTTTTTTCTCAAAAAGACATAAAACCGCGGTATTTTTGAATTCCACATAATTCCCAATAATAAAAGTCCCCCATTCTTTCCTCTAATTCCAGATTCTACAAGTAACAGCTGTTGATCTTGACACCGGAAACAATGCAAGATTGAGTTATCGTCTACAAGGTTCATCAAAATTTCGAATAAGTTCAAATATGGGATGGATTTTTCTCGCTCAAAATCTCGATCGTGAAACAACGGATCGTTATGCACTCACTGTTCTTGCAACTGACAATGGTTCACCAGCAGCTACCGCCAGTGCATCAGTATTAATAACAATTCTTGACGACAATGACAATGAACCAAACTTTGAAAAGGAATTTTACAGTTTTGAACTATTGGAGAATTTACCATCCGGTACATTGGTGGGTTCGGTAACAGCCTCTGATCCAGATCTTGGTAAAAACGCCCTCTTGAGATATGCAGTGGTCCAAGCTAATAGCAGTTTCACCGTTGATCCCGATACTGGTAAGTTTAATTATTATTTTTGCTAAATAAAAAAAAAAATTACTTTGAATTTAAAACGGTAGTTTTCCACTTGGTTTATCTGGTATCCACTTGGTATTCTCAAGATAAGAAATGATAGAGTGTCATTTCCTTTTTCGTTTACGTGTCGAGGCGAATTATTGGCTTGAAAGAAACGTCAAACACGAACGTCTTTAAAGAGGATCTTGAGAGAGTTTACACTTAAATATAGAATACCATGATTGACCCGCAGACTTGTATGCTCTTGAAAATTCCTTTTTGTTGAGGGTTTTTTTTTTAATGAACCATTCAAATTGAAAGTCTTTTATAGTAACTTTTTTTTATCAATACTTCATTCTTCAAGGACGACGATTTTCAAATATTAGAGTTGAGTTACATGAGAAGTGCATTAGCTACCATTGCTAATGCTATTTCTCCTTTCGTTTCTTTTTCATTTGCTTTTATGGAAATGGTACAATATTGAAAATGCGGCAGAATTTATAGTCTTTTTTTCCCTTATTTAAATACCTCCATAATTGGAAAATAGAATATAATCATATGGGTGTGGATGAAGATTAAAAACTAGAAGATGAAAAAAAATGCAAGTGACACGCAAATTTGTTTTGAAAGGATATATTTAACGGTATTTGGGAGATCTTTGTAATGGTTTTTTTTTCTCCCGTCTCTAGAAACCTTAATTATCTGTTAATGAGATAACTGCTTTGCACCGGTGCAAAAGAAAGGAGACACGCTGTGCTTTCTTTCTTCCATCGATCTCGTAATTACATGAGGCTCGTTTCACGGCCGTGTTCGCCATAACACTTTAGACATGATTACAATATCCATGTAACGAGATGCAGTTTCATTAGAATAAGAAGAATTAGATGACTAATCACATAACATTCCTTTCGTAATTCTTGAGACAAAGAATTTCTTTGTTGAAAATTTGATAGGAGATAAGAGTTGATGATGAATTTTTTTTAACTTTCAAATAGGTGAAGTGACAACTCGTGAGCCTTTGGATCGTGAATCGAAAGGAGTTCACGAATTGGTTTTGGAAGCACGTGATCAGGGAACACCGTCGAGGGCAGCGCGTGTACCACTGAAAGTCACTGTTCTCGATGTGAATGACAATTCACCGGAGATTGTTGATCCTCAAGGTGATGTTGTGAGCGTACGGGAGGAGCAACCATCCGGAACTGAAGTAGCTAGGGTTCGAGCATTGGATTCCGATCTTGGAGAAAATGCCTCAGTCACTTATACAATTCTTAAAGGTATGTTTTTTTTTGTTTTTGATACACCTGACTTTATCCGTTCCTGTAATCTGAAAACTATTTTCAAAAAAGATAAAATAAAATATACTCACTTCGAGAAGCTAAAATTAGAATCTTGTTTTAAAATTACAGATCGCGACTCGGATGGCTACAATGTCTTCACCATTGATCCTATCACTGGAATGATCAGAACGAAAGCAGTTCTCGATCACGAGGAGCGTAACGTTTATCGATTGTCGGTGAGAGCAAGCGACGCCGGGCGTCCACCCCGTCACAGTGTTCGAGCACTTCGAGTCGAAGTTCTTGCCTTGGCCGATAATCGACCGACATTTACGAGCAGCAGTCTAACATTCAACGTGAGTAATTTGGTCAAACTTTAATTAATTATTTAATAAAATTCATCCAATTAAGATACGAATTACTTCTCCCGAAATTAGAACCTTCCCTTGACTCGTAAAACTTTATAGCATAGCATCATTAAAATAATAGGAAAGGGTGATACAAAAACACGATTTTTGGGTTATAAAACGAACTCATCTACTTTGTAGATAATTACTTTTGTAACAACAACATAAAACAATTACCGAATGTTGGGAACCAATGATTATTTTTCAGGTAAGGGAGGATGCAACAATTGGAAGTGCCGTTGGTTCCGTCTCCGGTGCAGGACCAGCAGGACGAGTCGCCTACAATCTTAATTCCCTAACGCCAATTACTGATTATCCGGCATTCGATGTTGATCGCAGTTCTGGACAATTAGTCGTAGCTCATTCACTCGATAGGGAAAATACAAGTGAATATCATTTGGAAATTCGTGCCTTGGATACAACATCAATTGGTAATCCGCAGAGTATTGCGGTTTCGGTGAAGATTATAATCGAGGACGCCAATGATAATTCACCGCGCTGGCCACAGGATCCGATCATAGTTAGAGTCTCGGAACGAACTATGATAGGCCTAACGATTTATAATCTCACTGCAACTGATCTTGACAGTAGTCCCAATGGTGATTTAAGATATGGCCTCGTTGCGGAATTTCCACCAAGTGGAAGTTTCGCCGTCGACTCACTAACCGGGGCACTGACACTCGCCAAACCATTAGATCGTGAGGAAAGAGCTGAATACACCCTGATAATTGAAGCCGTTGATCGAGCGCCACCTGGCGAACAACTTTCTTCTACCGTTACGGCGAGAATTATCGTTCTAGATCAAAATGACAACGATCCGGTGTTTGTTGCTCCGGAAACAACGAGAATTCCCGTCACACCTGATCTTCTACCTGGTGAGTTAAAATTCTCTTTCTTCTACTTGAATTCCTTCCACTACTTGATCCTTCCGCTTTCAAATTTCAAAAGTGGATGAGGCAATTAATTCTTAATATTCTTTCGTAGGCGCTGTTCTCACACGAGTTGTCGCTGTGGACAAAGACGTAGACGACAACGGTCGAGTATCGTACGTAATTACTTCCGGAAATGAAGAAGGAAGATTCTCGGTTGGTTACGACTCGGGATTGGTAACACTCCTAAAACCAATGATCAGACCCCTGGAACTTGAAATAACAGCCAATGATCATGGTTCACCGCCTAGAAAAGCGACAATAAAGTTGTCACTAAATCTTGCTTTTGGACAAACCAGTGGACCACCAAGACTTTTACTCTCCAATCCAATTGCAAGAGTTTCCGAACTCCTACCCATTGGATCAGCTGTTTTGAATGTTGCCGGTCCTGCAATCGCAGATCAAGGTAAGATTAAATTTCCCATTACCACTAATCTAAAGATTCATAAAAAGTTCCCTGAACTTCTTAAGATAAACTAATGTTTACCAATTCTCATAATCCGATAATAACCCTTGAAATCTTGAGTTATTTCTGAAAAATTTATTGATCATTGAAGAAGATTATTCAGATTCTTAAAGTTTTTAATGTCCACGATGGGGGGAAAAAAGTGAACAAGTCTTGTAGAACAAGATCTGTTCTTTTTTATTTGCACTCAAGGTTTTAGTTTGCACTCTCTTCGTAAATGTAATGATGGCATCTTGAATTGTTGGAAAAAGGAGTTGCTTTACAAAAGATTTGAACGAGTGTACGTGATCGCAGCATGGGTTAATAGGAAAGAATTGCTATGAAAATACCTCAAATAATTGCCTTGAATCCTGCCGTGCGAGCATTACAGTAAATTGAGTCAAATGACTCACGCTTGTCTCCTACTTCTTGGGGCACTGAAGAATTCTACAAGAAACGGCAAACAACGGTTTTTTTCCTACTTCCTTGGCTTAATGTCCGGGAAGACTAGAAAGTGTGATCCTTAAATAGAAATTGAACTCAATTGGGTGGAGGGATTTTTTAAGGGATCAGGGGGAATACGAATCTTTTTAATGTGACTCGTACGATACCGGTTTAATTATTTAGATATTCGCAAATCTAAATCTATATTCTGGTTTTAATGTTCAAGACCACCTTGGAAGTTGGAATTAATATTAGTCACAAATGTCGGGAATAAATTGAGTGAGTCGCAGAAAGTAAATGAATTGTGTGCTTCCTCAATTCTCCCTAACCGGATGTTGTATAAACGCAAATTACTGTTAGTGCTTCATAAAGTTATTTGCAGTGAATGTATTGTCCGTTTTTATATTCGGATGGAATTTCCTCCATTGATGATTTGCTGATTGGGGGACATGAACCGCCTACAGATGGCAGCATCAGTAAACATTTAGTTTACTTGTAGGCCGATGCAGGGCGAGGAACTAAAATATTTTGGAGGTTGTCATAAGTAGCTGTAAAAAAATTGATGAGGCGCGGGAGTATGCAAGTAGCATTTCTCCAGAATGATGAATCATTGGTCCTCCGGGAAAAGATGGTGAGACTGCTGGAGAAAGAGGAAGAAAAGGTGGAGAAGACAAACAATGGTCACATATATCATCGTGCCGCCATTCAGCCGCGGTACGCATAGGCAAATCACCGCCATACTTACATACTGGCGTTGGAACATGTTTAAGTACCACAGTGGACCATCCAACCGTCATCACAGATCTATACTAACGCAACGATTGAAATAGTGTACCCAACACACCATACCAATGTGAAATCAAATTGTGTATGTGTGTGTAACGCTTTGTTCTAAACCCGCTAAAAATGCACCGACAGGCTAAACACGTCGTCCTCTGGAATTTGAGAATCGTATGCATTAAGGGACAAGAAACCATGCTGGAGAGAATGAGGGAAAGGAGAGAAGCGCTATCACGACCATCCTCTTGTTTGCCCCCGAGCACTACTAAGCAATACGCTCTAAGCCTTTTCCATTTGCAGTACATTTATCGCAAATCAGATTCACTATTACTATTTCTTCCCTTTATTCAATTTTATCAGGGGACTTTTGTCGTCTTCAAACGGCTATCAATTACTTCAGATCGAAATTAATACAAACTGGTAATTCAATCCTTGAAGAGTTGTATGCAAACGGAACAAATTCCTCCCTAATGAAAATTCAAATTAAAACCATCCACTCTATTGGGAATTTCAAAACATACAAATTCCGCTTTATGCCAAAACGCTAATTGTAATTCATTATCATTACAGGAAACGTAACCTTCAGCATTCCGAAAGGCGTCGCTTCGGATAAATTTATCATCTCGTCAAGTGGAGTCGTCACACTTCGTTCCCCTCTGGATCGAGAGGAGATTTCCCATTATTCAGTACCCGTGCTTGCGAGATCAGCCAAACTGCTCGATCTCACAACACTGGAGGTCGAAGTTCTAGACGAGAATGATAACAATCCGGAATTCAAATCAGGATCCTGTTATCGATTAGAGTTACCGGAGAATCAAGAAGCCGCTGCTGTTCACACCATCGCAGCCGTTGATGCCGACGAGGGAAAGAATGGAGAAATATTCTACAGTATAGTCGGTAAGTTTTCCCTCCCTCCCTCTCGCAAATGCGAGTATTCGTAATTTTAAATCGTTCTGTAGACGCTACTAAAGGCAAAAAGTCGATCCAGTGATTAAATTAACCTAATTATTTACAGGCGGAAACATTGGATCAAAATTCCGTCTCGACTCATCGACAGGTGTTCTTTCGATGTCGAGCCTCGACAGGGAGACCGTACCCAAATACATACTGACAATATCCGCGAAAGACAAGGGTCGACCTAGTCTCGAAAAACGTTGCAATCTCACTGTCATCGTTCTCGACGTCAATGACAATGCTCCATCATTCATTCAAAATCAATACAGCGATTCAAGATCAAGAATCGGTCAAAATCAAGAGTACGGAAATTTCAACTCTCCATACGCTCCTGCCAATCATCCCGGAAGATATTTCACAACAATATCCGAGGACATTTCCCCCGAATCAAGTGTCATGCAAATTAAGGCTCTCGATCCCGACCAAGGGGATAATGGAAAGGTTACATACGCAATTGCTGACGAGACAACCTGGTTCTTTAAGATCGATAACCTCACTGGCGTCATCTCAACCTCTGGGTAAGTTTAAATTTAAATAAAATTATAGGCAAGAGAGAAATAAAATTTATTTGTTTGAATAGATTATTGTTATAATTGTTGCATTCCAAGTAAATGAGTTTGATATTCATTTCCTGTTTTTTCCCCCTACGGTTTAATTTCATACTGGCGTTAATTACCACGACCTTTATTGCCCACCCGATTAGGATCAGGAGAATATAATGTTCATGGAAGATCGTAAAAGAAAGGGAGAGCGGGAGGGTGGACGCGTGGTAGGGACGTCATAAAATTATAAAGTCAAAGGCATTAGACGATTCCTTATGCATTACCCGTATGGGTTTTACTTTGAACGGTATTCCGCGTCGAGGAAACTGGTATCTGTGTATTTTCTTTCCTTGACGGAGATGCTAACGAAGATGTCGCGACTTTCCACTGGCTTCCGTTCAAGGTAAACGAGAAAAACGATCATCAAACGATCATTGTTAATTGCAACGATCCACTATCTCTCATCCGGTCGACACGTAATATTACTTTACGCTGATCGCGAGCAAATGAGAAATTAACTTTCATGGGGGAAAAATAGAAACTTGAACATTTTCTTTGGTAATTAAAATATGTTGAGAGTTTCGCTTCTTGTGGGATAAAATTGATTGAGAACAAATGGTTTTTTTTTAAATGTTAAGATCGAAATTGGTGAATATTAATATCCATTTAGTAATTTTTGTTCCTGTTTCGTTCGGCTCGAGTGAAATAATACCGCTTGAGGGAAGAGGAACGATGTCGATGATAGTTAAAAGAAGGTGGAGGATTCGCTGGCGTGGAGGGGGGAACTTTTGCAGCGCGACAGCAGTGTGTCATTTCAGCGAGGCACCATGTGGCATTTCAATGCATTATTTTAGCCGGCAAAAAGCCTGATATGCAAAACCAGCCACGGCTCCTTCGTTCCTTGCTTCTTTTTCTGGTCTTCTTTCCCTCCTCTCGTTCATCCCACTCGGCTCTTCGTGATTCGCAAACAGAAGTCGGCTTCTTCGTGTTGTCGTTACTTTTAGAATCCATGTTACCGCTACTTGCTCACCCAGCATTCGCTGAATTTCAACTTCATTGGAGCAACATTCTTAAAACTAAATTGAAAATTTATTTTCTCAATTAAAAAAAAAAACTGTCATTTGTAATTACAAAATCTTTTCACTGAATTTAACAGGTTTTAATGTTTTCTTTACAGACCGCTGGACAGAGAGCGACAGAGTAGCTATAATTTCTTAGTGGTTGCAACCGACGGTGGAAAGAACGACGCTAAACGAACATTGATTCCAGTGGAAATAAATATTGCGGATGTTAACGATAATTCGCCTGTTTTTGAGGAATATCCTTTTGAGGCAAGAGTACCAATTGGCACACAACCGGGACAAAATATATTGAGAGTGAAAGCCACTGACGCTGATCATGGACCAAATGGTGAAATTGTTTATACATTCCTTCGGGAGCATGAGAAACCAAAATTTAGAATTCATCCGAGTACTGGTGTTGTTACGGCAACATCATCACTTGCACAAGAGAATGGTAAGGTCTACCATTTGGAAATTATTGCCAAAGATAAGGGAAATCCTCCTCTAAGTGCTAGGGGTTTGATTAAAATTCGTGTTGGCGATCTAGCGGAATTGACTCCAATGCTTAAATTTCAAAATGACACCTACGAAGTTACTGTTCAGGAAAATTCACCAAAAGACACTGAGATTCTTCAAGTGACTGCCGTACGTTCCGACGGTAGACGACAACGAATTTCCTATTCTATAGGAACTGGAAATGATTTTCGTAGTTTTTACATTGACGAAGAGTCGGGTATGGTTCGTGTCAATGATCCAGCGAGAATTGACGCTGAACTCTGGCATGATCACAGTACGAATTCGGAAATTAGTAACGAAAGATCAGCCAATTCATGGGGTAGATCATTCGATGGACAAGTCATCAAGGAATTGCCCAGAGAAAGTTCAAAACATGTCTTGACACTAGTTGCCAGAACAACGGGACCGGAACCTTTGGAAGCTTACGCTAAACTGATTGTACGTGTTTCTGATGTTAACGACAATCCACCAATTTTCACACAAAATCAATATTCCGCAACTGTTTTAGAAGGGAACAGCAAAGGGGATTTTGTAGTCAAGGTAAGTGAAACATCTTGGAAGAGAATTGATGAAGTTTATTGTCAGGAAATTGAAATCTTATTGATTAATCTTTATCTAATTATAGCTTACAGTGAGTGATGCGGATCAGGGTTTAAATAGTAGAATTCTCTATCATATTGTTGATGGCAATCCAGACAATGCTTTTACAATTAATCCACCGAACAGTGGGGAAGTGAGGACCAACATTGTTCTTGATAGGGAAATTCGGGAGCAGTATCGTTTGACAATCATTGCCACGGATCAAGGGAATCCTCAATTAACCGGAACAACAGCGCTCAGTGTTCGAGTAATTGACATCAATGACAATCAACCCACGTTCCCGTCAACTCCTCAGAGTGTCATTTTCGTCTCCGAAGGTAAGAATATATTTTTAATTGATTTTTAAATTGCGATGTTGAATCACAACCAAATTAGAATCTCCAATAGTTCATCCAGTAATTAACCCAGGACTTTAGTTCCTGTATTTTACATTGTGACGTTGAACACCCAACCAAATTTTCCAAAAGTAACGAAACTCTTTAGTTAGAAATATTTTCCGGTGCGAAAATATTCTCAATCGTATAAACTATATTCAGATAAATAAAATTCAGTAACTTTGGAATGAGACAAAACGATCATGCTCCGCCTGCTCATGGAATATGTGAAAGGCAAACTTGATTTATTACTCTCCGCTTAAAAATCGCTCTCGTGATAAATAGTTCAGCAGCTGCATGGCAAAAATATCTTCGAAAGGTCATTATATTTTAACCTTTCTCCCAGACAAAATTGAGAAACATTTGATGAAATATTTTTTTTAGATGAAACTTGAACACTTTAATAAATTAATTTATCAGTTTTTGATAGAAAAAATTTCAAAGCTTTGCTTCAATTAAGATTGAGAATTGATCAGTTCGTTCAACTTCCATTGAATTGTATCTGTCAATGAAGGAACAATATGGGGGTTTCTCATCGACGGTAGGAAACTAAAGAAGAAAAAAAGAGAAATGAAGTGAGTGAAGAACCGCAGCAGCCAGTACTCACCTAAGTTATGCAGATTGTTCCGAACAGTTGGACTTTAATGCTGGCATAAATCCTTTACCACTTAACTTTATACTTTAGGAGTGCTCCCTACTTCTTTTCTCTCTCTCCTTCTCTTCTTTTTTCGATTCAGACGCCTTTCGTCTCACTCGATCCACTTTCTTTCATCAAAGGGTCACAGAGAATGTTAACGTTTTTGGGGTGCAATACTTATTCTGCGTGGGCGATCACACTATACCTGTTGTTGCTCTTCGTTTTCCAGCTCCTCAACTTTCTGACCCGAAACACACAGCTCATCTTCACTTATTACCACGCTCCTCTATACTTTGTCTTCAGGACTTGTGAAAAATGAATCGTGAATCTCAAGAATGCAATTCTTTTTTCACCTACTACAATTTTCAATTTTTGAGCTTGAAATTGATTTTTGAAAAATTAGTTCCATGATTTATGATTTACGTTTGAAGGTGATTTTCGAAAATTCGTAAATTGATAAGAGAAAATTTAAAAGATTTAAAATAGTTATTAATCGAGTAGGTAGTGAATATTAATGAGAAACCACGTCTACAGTGGTTAGGCTATTTTTTTCGTTGTTTTGTTGAAAAAAAAGAATACATTCGAAACAGGATATTATCTGTTAGACATGTGTCATTCTGCAAGTACTTCCTGATTTTGATCTCAACAGTTCTTGGGGTCTCATTTTTAGTTTAATGTGCACATGTTCGTGGTACAAGGACAAGGTCGCTCTTGAAACCGATTTACACGACATTAACGGTCTGACTAAATTTACGAGCAACGTTTTATACAGCTACGTCCTTAGTCGCCTTCATTCTTTCTATGGCTTACTTCATAACTCCATGACGTCCCTTAGAATGTTCGTATATATTTTTTCCCCTCTACAACCAAAAACTAGATTATCCACTATTTTCGATTTTAAACTAACGCTTCTGATTTATAGTCTCAAGATCCCGATAACTTCACGGGATCTGTAGGTTTTTTTTTTTAAATTGACTCGAGTTTCAAATGATCCTTAATATGAAGTGAAGGGATCTCTATATACAATGTTGCAGAGTGTCAAGATAACTTAGAAGTTTATTTCTCACGCGAGCAGTGAAATTTGATAGCGGACGGAGAATAATGTTGATGTTTTCTTTTCCAGGTACTCCAATTGGATCAGTGATTACGGAGATCACGGCAAATGATGTCGACAGTTCACCAGTTCTTACTTATCGTTTTGGCAACACATCAGATCCGGGACCATTCAGCATAGATCGATACAGCGGTCGTGTGGTGTTGAAAAATTTTCTCGACGCCGAAACTCGTTCGGAGTATGTTCTTCAAGTTATTGCCAGTGATAGTATCCATGAAGCAACAACTGCCTTGACGATACGAGTCACCGATCTTAATGACAATGCTCCGGAATTTTTGCAAGCTGCTTACGTCGCCACTCTTTCCGGTAAGTTTGAATAATAATCTCATTTTCATGCTCCAAGAGTAATTTTGGTTACTCTCCAATGTTCTGATTTTTGAAAGGAAAAAAGTGCTTAACACGAGCAAACTACTGAATTCCCAATAAATAATCCAATAATTAATTCAGTAATTTTTAATTTCGACGTCGAACCCCAACCAAAATTAGGCGTCTTCCCACTTTTCAATTTTCTCCAAAAGCGTGAATTTGTTATCACTCCATGTGCTTCATACCACAACAATATCAAATAAGATTTTAAATCCTAAAAAGAGGGCTGGGAAGTAGAAAAAAGAATTAGAAGAATGAGAGGAAGATTGAAAAAAAGGGAAAAGAGAATTTGAAAGTGAAAGGAAAGGGAGAATGGAGGAGTGTACGAACGCCTTGCACATAAATAAATGTGAGGACAACGTTTCGCCAGACAGCCGAAAGCCGCCTCCTTTGGTGGATCGTTGCTTCTTTCGAGGGCTCTCGAAACTTATTAAAAATACATAGCCGCGCGGCCTAATGGTGCATTCGCGGGTGGTCAGGGGGACGAGGACAACGAGCTTGCAAATTTGCATCTTCCCTCGCTTACATAAGTATCACGATTCCCAAATACTTTGTTCTCTTATCGAAAATTCTTTTTTCGATCCACAACGAAAATTTCTTTAATTTTTCGAATAATCCTCGGAATAATCTCAGTCATAATTATCCTCTATGCAAATATATCAACTGCTGAAAAATTAGGAGCACTATTTTTCTTTCTATTTTTTCCCCTTCCTAATAAATGTCAATTAATTCTGGAATTTTATTTTTGTTGCAGAAGAACATACGGAGATGCAGGAGATTTTGTCAGTGAATGCAACAGACAACGATCTTACGGAAGATAATTCACGAATTCGTTACCGACTTATGCATTTAAAGAAAGGTTTCACGGTTCATCCAACAACTGGTGGAATTACCGTGAACAGAACAGCGATACCTAAACCCCTGCCAAAAGAAGTGGAACTTATTGTCGTCGCTGAGGATTCGGGTAAACCAACATTGATGACCGTTTGTTCAGTGGTGGTGAGATTGGGCAGTTTGAAGAGAGCATTACCCGGTAGGGATTATAAGTTGACAATTAAGGAGAATGCATCAAGAGGCACTGCACTGATGACACTAGCTGAAGTTGATTTACTGGATGGTGATATCATCGCTGGCGATGAGAACGGAATGTTTGAAATATTGCGCGGCACTTTAGTGCTTGCGAAGAATTTGGATCGCGAACGAAAAGAGAGATATATATTAAGACTTGGACCTAAGGACGAGAATTCAACAACTGGTTCCCTCGTTGGTGATGATCCAGTCACGGTGGTGATAACAGTGGATGACGTCAATGATAATTACCCTAGATTTCTAGAGGAACATCATCAGGTTTCGATAAGGGAGGATACGATGATAGGTACTGTGATCGCGACCCTAAAAGCCAAAGATGACGATCTTGCTGGTAGTCCTGCGGCAACTCTGGTCTATAACATCACTTCGGGAAATGATTTAGGACTCTTTAGAATCGATAATAATTCCGGATCTTTACAAGTAAATAATACATTGGACTGCGATTTAGCTTCGGAGTTTCATAATCTTGTGGTGATGTCATGTGACAGTGATTTGGTTACACCGCTTTGTGCTTTGGCCCGTATTCGAATTCATCTTGAAGACGTGAATGATAATTCGCCGAAGTTCCCTGTATCGGAGTACCTTGAATTTGTTGGGGAGAATGAACCAATTGGTACGACTGTCTTCTCTGCACGAGCCTCGGATTTAGATCGGGGAATATTTGGAATGTTGAACTACACAATCATGTCTGCAGCCGCGACCGGATTTTCCGATATTGACGATAGTTGGAGACTATTTTCGGTTGATGCGAAGACGGGAGCTGTTACCACCCGAGCTGTTTTTGATTACGAACAGAGGAATCGTTACGCTTTTGCTTTGCGGGCCACGGACACCGGGGGAAGGATTGCGACTGTAAGGGTTCGGGTTGAAATTGACTCGAGGGACGAATTTTATCCACAGTTTACGGAAAGGATGTACAGATTTGGAATTAGGAGTGGAGCGCAGATTTTGGCTGGTACAGTGATTGGGTATGTGACGGCGACTGATAGGGATAAGGGACCTGATGGACGGGTTGTTTATCAGATGACTTCGCAACATCCTTACTTTAAATTGAACCGAACGACCGGTGCGTTGATTGTTAGGCAGAAGTTGATGCATTCGAATATTGAAGTGGAGGGATCTTCCAGATTGGTGGTTAGTGCTAGTTCTGGTAGACAGGGATCGTTGTCGAATATGACGGTCGTGGAAGTTAGTGTTGTTGATAATGATGATTATATTCTATCCCGGGGAGCGACATCGTTGAGTCCTTCAAATATCGGCACTAATATGGCTGTGGCGACTTCTAACGGTCTGGCTGATTGGGCTTTGGGACTCTTGATCGCCCTATTGTTACTAGTCCTCGCTTTTGGTTCCATCTTCCTCTATCTTCATATTAGAAACCGACGGCACAAGAAACCGGGAACGAAACCCGGACTAAATGGAGACAGTAACGCGGCAGCGAGCAATAGTTACGTGGATCCAAGTGCATTTGACACAATTCCAATCAGAAGTGTCACCGGAGTAGGAAATTCGGGAAATTGTTCCGTAACGGACGGTGTGAGGGAAAGAGCGTCTTGTCAGTTCGCTCCGCCTAAATACGACGAAATTCCCTCCTATGGTACGTCTGGACAATCCGGACAACAGCAAGCAACGTCCGAACTTTCGGGCAGCGATCAGTCGGGTTCCTCCGGTCGTGGTTCGGCCGAGGACGATGGAGAGGATGAGGAAATTCGGATGATCAATGAAGGACAAACGCACGGGGACTCGGCGAGTGATTTATCGGTTCACAACACTCAGGAGTATTTGGCGAGATTGGGAATTGTCGATCCTCCCACTGGAACACCGAGGCGACCTCCAGAAGCTCTACCATTGGATAGTCTCCATCTCTTTGAGGATGAAACGGCGACGGAGGCTGACATCGCCACTCTTATTTATGGGAAAATTGGCGATCCCAGTAGACCAACATCGGGACTGGAAGTTCCGGGTAGTGGACCTTCAATGAACGGATCTTTAAGTTCGATTGTTCATAGTGAAGAGGAATTAACTGGGTCTTATAATTGGGACTACCTGCTGGATTGGGGTCCTCAGTATCAACCGCTTGCTCATGTGTTTAGTGAAATTGCAAGACTTAAAGACGATGCTGCTAGTGTTCAAAGTGGTAATTCGGGAAGTAGTGGGAAAGCGAAATCTGTACATAAAGCACCGCCGCCACCGCTACTCACTTCCGTTGCTCCCAGATCACTTGCAGCGCCTGCGTTAGCGCGAGGCATTTTGCCCAGGTCGCCTATTAGTCACGATGCTTCAACATTCCCCTCAGCAGCGTTGAGTCCTAGTTTTTCGCCCTCATTATCGCCCCTAGCGACAAGGAGTCCTAGTATCAGTCCTCTAGTGCCACCCGCGACGCAAAGGAATAGTCAAGGTCATCCCAGGGGGATTCCAGTCACCGATGCCGAGCTTAGAATCTGATAGTTTACCCAATTGCCCCCCTATTTTGTTATCGAGTGACTGAATCCCCCCAGCAAAGTTGGCTGAAAATTTTATCCCCTTTTTTTGAAAATACCTAACAGCCATCTTTGCGAGTTTATATTTAAGTAAATTAATATGTGATAAATTGTTTTTAGCTAGAGGGAGAGAGAATGACAGACCTCATTGTATACGTCGCAATAAAGAGTTTTTTTTCTCAAATTCTCTTTCTCAAAAAAAAGAAACTGTAAATTAGATTTTTTTAGATAAATTTGAAGCGTGCGATAATTGCCAAGCGATAGATTAGCGTTTCAAGAATGAATATAATAATTTCTTTTTTAATCCTCAGGAGACTGCAATTCAAATTTTGAGCTTAGCCTCTTTTGTATAGTTATAAAAATATAAAAGTATTAGATAAGGCGAACTGCTGTAAATAGGTGGATAAATGAGCTTCGCTTCAAAGCGATGTTTTTAGAATTTAAGTAGATTTTGTAAATAAAAGAAAACGGTAAAAAAAATTTTAATAATCAAAACTTAGACCATTGTAAACGATGAGACGATTTCATTTTGTAGGACAAGTTTAGCTTTCTTTGTACAGTAATTATAAAATTAAGACGATTGAGTAATTTCAGTCGTTCTTGTTTCAACATTTTGAAATCGTCTCGTCGCATAAAAAAAGGAAAACCATGAGAGAACTGATTATTATTTAGATCGTGGTTTATTCAGATTAAAAAAACGTTTCAAAGACTGCTAAAAAATTAAAAAAATTAAATTTCAATCTGAATTTTCAAATTCAAGTTTTCAGGTTTATTTTTTTACAACGGTTTGTTGAAATGTTTGTTCTTTGATATTTTGTACTTTTTTTGCAGAAGTAATATCGTTTTGTGTATAGAATGTCTTTAAATAATGTAATAAAGAAATTAGGCGCAAAAAAAATTATTTATTTAGCGTTGATTTACTTCTGTTGATAATGTATGCAATAAAAAAATGCATTTTCCTTCAAGTTGCATTTAAAAATGTTATATGTCACAATCTCATATTTATATGTATATGCGTATAGGTATATATAATAGACGATACTTAGGATTCATTTTGTATAAATTGTTTTTACCCTTTGTACAAATTTTCTAATTGCGCTTCTCTTTGAAGCATTTTAATAAATGAATTTTTTTAGCAAATTAATTGTTTTCTTTATATCTAATACCTGAGAATGAAGAATTCTAAACCTAATAATCCTTTCCTATACCGCTTCCTAATTGAGTTTCTATTCTATTTTAATTACTTCTGACATCTTTAAAGATTTCGTGTAAGCATTTGAATTTTCTCATTTATTTTCTAGTTTCTAAACATTCTTTCATCAAAATTTTTGTTACTTTTTAATCTGCAAAGGATTGCTTCTTCTGAATCATAAATAAGTAATTGATTAAAACATAGATCTTCACCTTTTTCCAAATGTAAAGCTGTATCAGATTCTGATAGTAAATTTAAAACTGAATTTTGTAACAAAATAATTCTCGGCCTATGTCATTACTCATTACAATTAATTATATGAGCATTTATAGAAGCAAAAAAAAAAACAGAATTATTATAGTCTTATACTCTTTCTAAAATGGACTGCTTTTGTATAAAGTCTTTAATCAAAGAATTTATGCAGTAGTGGACATTTCACTTATTGATCTTAAGTAATACTCATATTCGAGTTTGGCGCTCACAAAAGTAAAAATGACAGCTTAAAGAAGCTTCGTTAGCCTCTGCTGATAACGCTAAAATTCACAAAACCACCAAAAGGGAATCTATATGTAAACGAAGATTACCTTTTGCTGGTTATAGTAGAACTACCGACTGTGGAACATATAAAAAATAGTGCATTTTATAACCACAGTATAGCGCCACTACTTGTTTCTCATTTGAACAGTTTTATCATCAAGCAAACCTGAACAATTAGTATCTATTTGTAATTCCAGAGTAATCAATAAATTCACTAATTGATTTCTTGATTTTTATCAATTCTGGACGGCGTCAGTCCTTTATTTAGGATCTGTTCAAAAAATACGTAACGTTTTTTGGGGGAGGGAGGGTCAAGCTATTTGTTACGGTCAGCAGATAAAATGGCGCTAATGTATACAATATTGCGTTACATGGGGGAGGGGGGGGGGGTCCAAATTTCCGAAAAATAGCGTTACGTATTTTTTGAACGGCCCCTTATTGATTTTGACCAATTTTAAGCTGCGCCAGTAGTATATTTGTTGATTTTCACCAATTTTGAACGGCGCAAGTAGTTTTTTTATTGATTTTGACTAATTTTGGGCGACTCAAGTAGTTTATTTATTGATTTTCACCAAATCTGCAATGCGCAAGTAGTTTATTTATTGATTTTTTCCAAAACTTGATGCGCAAGTAGTTTATACATAGGTTTTGGCCAATTCTTGGCGGCGCAAGTAGGAGACGCATGCTTATTCACGAAATCTTTATTGACCAAATAGTTATTTGATATAAAACTACTTAACTTAAAATTCACATAATATGCACATTATATGACATAAATTTCATTGAACACAAAAACCATTTAAAATAAATATCATTTGTCATAGAATTCATTAAACAGAAATATTATGTTACATAATATATTTAACATATTTCCAAGTCAAATGATTAGAGCTGTGCAAAATTCGAACCGAACCGAGTTTAGTTCGGTTTTGGGGCGCCGAAATGTCGAATGTCGGTTTTTCGACAATCGAACTGTGCTAGTTCAAATCTCGAATATTCGACATTAAAACTAAGCGAAAAAATTCGAACAGTTCGGTTCGAATTATTTTGCACAGCTCTAGTAGAGAACCAAAAAAACCGGAATTTTTTGCTATTTTGTGGAAGGAGGTGATAACTTTTTTAATTTTTGATTTACAAAATAGTATCTAAAGGAAAAGTTGCTTGTTTTTGTTCAAAATATAAAGGAAAAAAAAGAAAAACAGATTTTAGTAAAAATTTAAAAAGATACAAAACTTATGAGGCTGAAGTCCGCAGCGTTTAAAAAAACGAAAAATTAATAACTAAAAAAAAAAAATTTTTCAACGCAAAAACGTTTTAATTGCTAAAAAACATGCACCAAACAACTTTCAATCCCCTAACCCCTTCAGCAATCTTCGCTTATGGGGTAAAATGACCAAATGAAAGCTTGAAAGTTGCCCTAAATTTCTTGTACAGTTAGAATTGGCTGGGATAAAGATTTCGGGATTTTTTTGGCAAAAAACAAAACTCCAAAAAAATTACTGAAATTTTATTTTCTTCATGGGGAGGGATCTTTATAGCACAGGTAAAAAGTTATAGTGCTTTGAAAAAAACCTAAAAATTTTTGCAAAAATTAAAAAGTTGGAAAGGTCCCTCCCCATGAAGAAAATAAAATTTCAGTAATTTTTTTGGAGTTTTGTTTTTTGCCAAAAAAATCTCGAAATCTTTATTCCAGCCAATTCTAACTGTACCAGAAATGTAGGGCAACTTTCAAGCTTTCATTTGGTTCTAATTAGAGCATGATATATAGCACAGGTAAAAAGTTATAGTGCTTTGAAAAAAACCTTAAAATTTTTGCAAAAATTAAAAAGTTGGAAAGGTCCCTCCCTATGAAGAAAATAAAATTTTAGTAATTTTTTTGGAGTTTTGTTTTTTGCCAAAAAATCCCGAAATCTTCATCCCAGCCAATTCTAACTGTACCAGAAATGTAGGGCAACTTTCAAGCTTTCATTTGGTTCTAATTAGAGCATGATATATAGCACAGGTAAAAAGTTATAGTGCTTTGAAAAAAACCTTAAAATTTTTGCAAAAATTAAAAAGTTGGAAAGGTCCCTCCCTATGAAGAAAATAAAATTTTAGTAATTTTTTTGGAGTTTTGTTTTTTGCCAAAAAATCCCGAAATCTTCATCCCAGCCAATTCTAACTGTACCAGAAATGTAGGGCAACTTTCAAGCTTTCATTTGGTTCTAATTAGAGCATGATATATAGCACAGGTAAAAAGTTATAGTGCTTTGAAAAAAACCTTAAAATTTTTGCAAAAATTAAAAAGTTGGAAAGGTCCCTCCCTATGAAGAAAATAAAATTTTAGTAATTTTTTTGGAGTTTTGTTTTTTGCCAAAAAAATCTCGAAATCTTTATTCCAGCCAATTCTAACTGTACCAGAAATGTAGGGCAACTTTCAAGCTTTCATTTGGTTCTAATTAGAGCATGATATATAGCACAGGTAAAAAGTTATAGTGCTTTGAAAAAAACCTTAAAATTTTTGCAAAAATTAAAAAGTTGGAAAGGTCCCTCCCTATGAAGAAAATAAAATTTTAGTAATTTTTTTGGAGTTTTGTTTTTTGCCAAAAAATCCCGAAATCTTCATCCCAGCCAATTCTAACTGTACCAGAAATGTAGGGCAACTTTCAAGCTTTCATTTGGTTCTAATTAGAGCATGATATATAGCACAGGTAAAAAGTTATAGTGCTTTGAAAAAAAACCTTAAAATTTTTGCAAAAATTAAAAAGTTGGAAAGGTCCCTCCCTATGAAGAAAATAAAATTTTAGTAATTTTTTTGGAGTTTTGTTTTTTGCCAAAAAATCCCGAAATCTTCATCCCAGCCAATTCTAACTGTACCAGAAATGTAGGGCAACTTTCAAGCTTTCATTTGGTTCTAATTAGAGCATGATATATAGCACAGGTAAAAAGTTATAGTGCTTTGAAAAAAACCTTAAAATTTTTGCAAAAATTAAAAAGTTGGAAAGGTCCCTCCCTATGAAGAAAATAAAATTTTAGTAATTTTTTTGGAGTTTTGTTTTTTGCCAAAAAATCCCGAAATCTTCATCCCAGCCAATTCTAACTGTACCAGAAATGTAGGGCAACTTTCAAGCTTTCATTTGGTTCTAATTAGAGCATGATATATAGCACAGGTAAAAAGTTATAGTGCTTTGAAAAAAACCTTAAAATTTTTGCAAAAATTAAAAAGTTGGAAAGGTCCCTCCCTATGAAGAAAATAAAATTTTAGTAATTTTTTTGGAGTTTTGTTTTTTGCCAAAAAATCCCGAAATCTTCATCCCAGCCAATTCTAACTGTACCAGAAATGTAGGGCAACTTTCAAGCTTTCATTTGGTTCTAATTAGAGCATGATATATAGCACAGGTAAAAAGTTATAGTGCTTTGAAAAAAACCTTAAAATTTTTGCAAAAATTAAAAAGTTGGAAAGGTCCCTCCCTATGAAGAAAATAAAATTTTAGTAATTTTTTTGGAGTTTTGTTTTTTGCCAAAAAATCCCGAAATCTTCATCCCAGCCAATTCTAACTGTACCAGAAATGTAGGGCAACTTTCAAGCTTTCATTTGGTTCTAATTAGAGCATGATATATAGCACAGGTAAAAAGTTATAGTGCTTTGAAAAAAACCTTAAAATTTTTGCAAAAATTAAAAAGTTGGAAAGGTCCCTCCCTATGAAGAAAATAAAATTTTAGTAATTTTTTTGGAGTTTTGTTTTTTGCCAAAAAATCCCGAAATCTTCATCCCAGCCAATTCTAACTGTACCAGAAATGTAGGGCAACTTTCAAGCTTTCATTTGGTTCTAATTAGAGCATGATATATAGCACAGGTAAAAAGTTATAGTGCTTTGAAAAAAACCTTAAAATTATTTGCAAAAAATTAAAAAGTTGGAAAGGTCCCTCCCTATGAAGAAAATAAAATTTTAGTAATTTTTTGTGAGGTTTGTTTTTGCCAAAAATTCCCAGAAATCTTCATCCCAGCCAATTCTAAACGGTACCAAGAAATGTAGGGCAACTTTCAAGCTTTCAATTTGGTTCTAATTAGGCATGATATATAGCCGGAAAAAGTTATAGTGCTTTGAAAAAACATTAAAAATTTTTGCAAAACTGTAAAAAGTTGGAAAGTCCCTCTCACTGAAGAAAATAAAATTTTAGTTCATTTTTGTTGGAGTTTGTTTTTGCCAAAAAATCCCCGAAAATCTTCATTCACAGGCCAATTCTAACTGTACAGAAATGTCGGGCAACTTTCAAGCTTTCTTTGGTTCTAATTAGAGCATGGATATATAGCCACAGGGTTAAAAAGTTTAGTGCGTTGAAAAAAA